TAAAACAAAGATAATTTTTATTGTAGCCCTAAATATGCACTCACAAGAAAGGTGTCCAACCGACACCAGCAATATCAGTCTCAAAAAGCTAAAGCAGGGAAGAGCCTCGCTCACCGCGATCACAGCCGACAGTCTCGAGGGGCGTCCTGACGTCTCATTCACTCAGCCCTGCCTTGGAAAGCTTGCTACGTGTGTCAATCTTTCCTCTTGTAGATCACAACGTGCGCTGCTGTACTCACACTGTCCTCTTTGCTCCCTGCTGCTCCAGGCCTGATCCCATCCCATGCTGAGACAGCCCTAGCCCAGCCTAGAGGCCTAGGGGATCCCTCCTAGACAGTTTCCTTAGCACTCCATCTTCCACCCAACTCTTTTTTTCAACCTTACTCTTCCATAGTTATAGGCCAGTCCACCACTCTACCAGGGCCTCCAAACCTGGGATTGGCCGGACCCCCATGAATGTGCAGATTAGGCCTCCGTCCCTCCTACTTATCAACCTCTGGAAGGTTCTATGGTCCTCCAGAGCCAGGAGGAGACGATAGAGCAACAAACTGTAGAGTCGTCCAGCTGACCTGCAGTAACCCAACTTTAATCACATGACCCACACAGCTACCATGAGTCACACAATGATCTAACTATCATCCACTACACCATACTAGTAGCACACTAGAGGGTGCTACACGTGATTTGTGTGATACACAAGATACAATGTTCAGTACATGATCAGTCCAAACACTAAAAAAGTCTTACTCGTGGTATCGTCATACTCCAGAGGAGTCACAGAATGTGTTTGGTGTGTAATTAAGTATGCCCATGCTATGTGTGAGAAATATGTTGTCACTTTGACAACTTTGTGTAAAAAAAAAAAAAATAATTTTCATTTTCTTTCCGCATTTTCCATAAAATTGTGGCAAAAAATTAAATCTCCAAAAGACTCACCATGCCTGGTTGCTTTCCAAAATGTAGTCATTATGGGTGTCTCCACTGTCCTGGTGCTCCAGTGCCGCCAAAAAATGTGATAGGTACAGTAGTCAGGATATTAGATGTGTAAATTAGGTCACTTGAATGCCTTACATTTTGGGTCTCTCTATGTATCTAGTCTCTAAAAACGCCTCATACATGTGGTATCTCAATGTGAGGAGTATCAGAATGTGTTTTGGGGTGTAATTCTCAGCATTCCTATGCTGTGTGTGAGAAATAACTTGATAAAATTATACATTTGTGAAAAAAAAAATAATTTAATTTAATTTATTTATTTTTCAAAAAATTGTGACAGAAAATTACGACTTTAAAATACTCACCATGCTTCTTACAAAATACCTCAGACTGACTACTTTACAAAATAGAGTCATTTTGTGGGTATTTTTACTGTCCTGTGAGATTGTCCATACTTACCCACTGTGTGCAGTGGTTTTGCACAGAGCAGCCCAGATCAGCCCAGATCATCCTCTTCTAGGGTCCCCCATCGGCATTCCTGGCCCCTCCCTCCTGTCAAGTACCCCCACAGCAAATAGCTTGCTATGGGGGCACCCGCTGCTCTGTGTATCCATATATACACAGAGCTGTGGCTCAGCCCCACCCCCTCTCTCTTCTCATTGCATCACTGGCTGTGATTGACAGCAGTGGGAGCCTACGGCTCCCGCTTCTGTCTCATACAATAATAGGAGTGAGTCCCAGGATAGTCGAGACTCCAGTGCACATCGCTGGATCAAGAGGGGGCAGTGATCAATGACTTATAATGGGACTGCGATGGGCGGTGGGCAACCTGACATTAACTGACGCTGGGGGGGACTGACTAACCCATCACCAGTGACACTAATAAAGTGGTCAGTGATAATACTATACACTGTCACTGTAATAATGGCACTGGCTGGGAAGGGGCTAACTTCCGGGATGTTCAAGGGGTTAAATATGTGCCTAACAATGTAAATGTGTGCCTCTTTTACTAACAGATCTCTTTGTTTCTTATAAAAGCATGTGCATGCACGCACCCTACAGTCATGGCCGAAATTGTTGGCACCCTTGATATTTTTCCTGAAAATCAAGTATTTCACACAAAAAAGGTATTGCATTAACACATGTTTTGCTATACACATGTTTATTCCCTTTGTATGTATTGGAACAAATATAAAACAGAGGCAGAAAAGCAAATATGACATAATGTCACACAAAACCCCAAAAATGGGCTGGACAAAAGTATTGGCACCCTTAACTTAATATTTGGTTGCACACCCTTTGGAAAACATAACTGAAATCAGTCGCTTCCTATAACCATCAATAAGCTTCTGACACCTCTCACCCGGAATTTTGGACCACTCTTCCTTTGCAAACAGCTCCAGGTCTCTCTTATTGGAAGGACACCTTTTCCCAACAGCAATTTTAAGATCTCTCCACAGGTGTTCAATGGGATTTAGATCTGGGCTCATTGCTGGCCACTTCAGAACTCTCCAGCGCTTCTTTGCCATCCATTTCTGAGTGCTTTTTGACGTATGTTTGGGGTCATTGTCCTGCTGGAAGACCCAGGATCTTGGACGCAAACCCAGCTTTCTGACACTGGGCCCTACAGTGCGACCCAAAATCCTTTGGTAATCCTCAGATTTCATGATGCCTTGCACACAGTCAAGGCACCCAGTGCCAGAGGCAGCAAAACAACCCCAAAACATCATTGAACCTCCACCATATTTTACCGTAGGTACTGTGTTTTGTTCTTTGTAGGCCTCATTCCGTTTTCGGTAAACAGTAGAATGATGTGCTTTACCGAAAAGCTCTATCTTGGTCTCATCTGTCCACAAGACGTTTTCCCAGAAGGCTTTTGGCTTACTCAAGTACATTTTGGCAAACTGTAGTCTTGCTTTTTTATGTCTCTGTGTCAGCAGTGGGGTCCTCCTGGGTCTCCTGCCATAGCGTTTCATTTCATTTAAATGTCGACGGATAGTTCGCGCTGACACTGATGCTCCCTGAGCCTGCAGGACAGCTTGAATGTCTTTGGAACATGTTTGGGGCTGCTTATCCACCATCCGGACTATTCTGCGTTGCAATCTTTCATCAATTTTCCTCATCCGTCCACGACCAGGGAGATTAGCTACAGTGCCATGGGTTGCAAACTTCTTGATAATGTTGCGCACTGTGGACAAAGGCAAATCTAGTTCTCTGGAGATGGACTTGTAACCTTGAGATTGTTGATATTTTGCCACAATTTTGGTTCTCAGGTCCTCAGACAGTTCTCGTCTCCTCTTTCTGTTGTCCATGCTTAGTGTGGCACAGACAGACACACAATGCAAAGGTTAAGTGAACGTCTCTCCTTTTTATCTGCTTTCAGGTGTGATTTCTATATTGCCCACACCTGTTACTTGCCCCAGGTGAGTTTACAGGAGCATCACATGCTTGTAACATTCTTATTTATCCGCAGTTGTGAAAGGGTGCCAATACTTTTGTCCAGCCCATTTTTGGAGGTTTGTGTGACATTATGTCGAATTTGCTTTCTTTCCTCCCTTTTTTTGTTTTGTCCCAATACACACAAAGGGAATAAACATGTGTATAGCAAAACATGTGTTAATGCAATACGTTTCGTGAGAAATACATGATTTCCTGGAGAAATATCAAGGGTGCCAACAATTTCGGCCATGACTGTATACCTGGAAATAGGCAGCAACATACCAGTAGTATGGACAGGCAGTCCTTAAGTAGTTAAGAGGTCTTTTTTGTTTTCACACGGATTTACAAACCTTTCACTCATATTCAGTTGAATACAGTTCAAATAATATGTGAATCTTATGTGAAAGTCTTGTGAATCTTGAGGGAAAATACTGACGCAAAAAATTATTGAAACCCACAATCTTCACCTGTTTTCTTTTTCAACGTGCACAGCACGAAACTCATTAGGGAGGTGCCCTACACCCTGTGACGTCACTCCGCACGGCCCACGTGGACGGCCGGCGGCCATCTTGGATTTTTCCCTGACAGCTTTCAGGCTGCAGTATGTGATTTCCTATCTGTGTTATACACCCCCGCTGTTCTAATAAAGTACTACACTATCTGGATTCTCTGTGTTTGGCTCGTTACTCCTGAGCCCCCCCCCCTTCAAGGCATACCCTGATGACCTGGTGGCTGCTACACTAATGGTGAGTCTGGCTCCTCCTGCTGGTGAGAAGATTGCTTTTACCTGGAGACCCTGATGGTGTGATACCTGCCTAGCTGACGCTGGTCGGATGACCCCCACTGTGTTCCAATTCCCAGATGTGGATGACCAGGAGTTGGTTATGAATTACTCAAACGCGCATTAAATTGCGCTTTCTGGTTAGTGCAATCTATACTCATCACCTTATAAGGAACACGGTCACAGATTGTCACCAGTTTTCATTACTCTGCCTTGAGAGTTATCATCGTTATCACTGTGCACTTTATAACGCTGATTCTGGACGTTTGCACGCCATTGAGCGTCATTTTATTCCATTATATTCTCATTACTATTTAGTCACGTATCCCTCTATGTAGAGGACCGAGTTTTTATGAGTTTGTTGGTTGATTTTTATGATTTTTATGCTTCATTTATCTTTAGTTTTTATTAGCGCTGCATGTTTTATGTATATATACTTGCTACAGAGGTTTTTGAGGTTTGCCTTTCATGCTAGCTGCTCTTTGGTTTTTATCCAGCGCTCGTTCATTTCTTCTGTCATTTATTGCTTTATTTTTTAATGTTTTACTCCAATATAATAGGACTACTTTAGACCTTCAATATGTTGTTTCCAAAAATCAAATATGCTGTTCAAACTAAAAACCCGCCCCTTTTGGTGATCTGCTTATTTAAACAAACCATTTGGAGGCCATGATGGCTTATTAAATCATAATAAAAAAAAAGTACACACCGATTGTTAACTTTTATAAATGAGTTTAAAATAATGCTTGAAAGAATCTATCATTTCCTGATTCCTTAAACTATAAATAATTGGATTCAAAAGAGGAATTGCAACAGTGTATAACAGCGAGGTAAACTTGTTTATCTTCTTCTTTGGCTGAGAAGGAATCATATAGGTAATACATATCGATCCAAAGTAAATGCAAACAGATGCCAGATGTGAACTACATGTGGAGAAGGTTTTTTGTCTTCCAGATCGTGAGGAAATTTTCAGAATGGTATGAAATATGGAGATATAGCTGACTATGATCAAGACAAATGTGACAATGCCTAGAAAAATTATGATGAAGATTTCTTCCATATCCACCAGATATGTGTCTGAAGAAGACAGCTGTAGAAGTGGAGCTAGATCACAATAGAAATGGTCAATAGTGTTTGAACCACAAAACTGTAGGTGGAAGATTGTAATCATCAACATGGCCAAGACTGTAAAGCCAACCACCCATGCCCAAGCTGCCAGATGGTTGCAAGTGTTGTAGTTCATGATGGAAGAGTATCTCAGAGGGTTGCAAATGGCCAAATGCCTGTCATACGCCATAACGGTTAAGAGAAGACATTCTGCACTACCGGATGAGGATGCCAAGTAGAATTGGATGATACAACCATAGAGTGATATGAAACCTCCATTCAACCATAAGATGTACAGCATGTTGGGTGTGATTGTGGTGGTCATAAACACTTCACAGGCAGATAGGTTGCTAAGAAAAAAGTACATGGGGGACTGGAGATTTGTACTGGTAGATATCAAGGTTATAATTAACATGTTCCCTGTTACTGTGGCCAGATAAATGATGAGGAACAAAACAAAAATACAATTACTTATGTGTTGGAGATTCCCGAACCCCACAAGAAACATCTCTGTCACCATTGTTTTATTCTGTCCACATGTGGCCTGCTGGAAAATAATACAAATAGTAAGTATTATGTAGAGGACAGAATGCAAAATAATTAAGCATCAGGTAATAATGACAGACGAAAACAATGAAACAGGTTGTTACAGATAGAAAGTGAAGGAAAGGGAAATGAAAGGCTTTTTTGTGTTTACCACATTAGATCAGTCATAATTATTTTACCAAATGTTCTCTCACATCTTCCACTCATCTTAAACCCTCATTCTTTTATTGTTCTTCTGATATAAATTTAAGATGTGAATTGTAGGAGTGCTGGACTCCAGAGTCCATGAGAATCGGTGCTCCAAAATCTGACACATTTTGGTGGCAACTCTCCCTCAAAAGGGATATTACCAAGGGTTCCTGGAGAGGTCTGTAGAGTATTGGAAAGTAGAGATGTGCAGGAAGGAAAAATATGTTTTGTGTCAGATTTGTTTAAGTGAAGAATGTTGTTTCTTTATATTCATTATGTTATAATGCATTTTTTTTGGAATTTGTTTCGTATATTCGTTATTTTGAAATCAATTTTGAAATTTGAATTTCAGAAGACTACTATATTTATTCTACTCTTTTCTATTCTATGTTTTCTATTGTATTATATTCTATTCTAGTCTTTTCTATTCTACTCTTTTCTGTTTTTTTTATGTTATTCTATTCATTTCTATTCTATAATATTCTATTTGATTCAGCAGCCTAAGTTGGATTCCACTTTTGTTCCTTATTGTATTTATTGCAGTATTTTTCCATTTCAAATTTAAATTCATTTTCAAATTCAAATTCATTTTCAAATTTGAATTCTATTAATTCATTTAGTTATCACTTATTTTGGATTTGTTAAAATTCATTACTATTGTGATCAGAAACTCAGATACATCTGAATCTCCAAATAATGAAAATTTCATCTGAATTTTGATTCGTAATGAAACAAATTTCACATGTCTATTGAAAAGATAAGAGCTCCACAACAGCCACTGTGTCTGACACCCCCTTTGTCAGGGCTGAGAAACTAGAAACTCATCTCATTTCTCATTCCCATGAATGAGAAGTTGGGGTTCCTGAAACATGTTGGCTTTCCATTCTTGTAACATGTCAAATAAAACCCGCTACTGGATGTATTCAACTACATTATGTAGTGCCTTCATCTTTCTAATACTCTACAGAGATATAATTAGGGGCTACATAGACCCAAGAACAAAAATGTAATAAATTGCAGCTTACCAATTCTTGTCTGTAATAACTACATGAGTTTCCTTTTTTTGGGGTTAGTACATTTTCATCAAATAGAGAAGAATACCCATTGATTGAGTCAGAAATGCAATCTTTTCCTCTGAGTAAGACTGAAATCTCAAACAAGTTTATCTTCCTTTTTGGAAAACATAGCAGGACCAACTCCAAACAATTCTTCAAATATATTAAAAGTAAAAAGGTTCGGTCCGAGCATGTAGGCCCTTTACAGAATAATCTAGAGTGGGTGACTGGGGAAAAGGAGAAGGCAAATGTATTTTATACCTTCTTCAGCTCTGTGTATACAAAGGAGCATGGGGGGGCTCTTGTCCATAATGGGTGTGGTATTGACACAGCCTCAGATGATCCACATTGGCTCACAATTGATATGATCCAAAAATATTTAGGCAGTATAAAGGTGACTAAAGCATCTGGACTGGATGGCATACACCCACGGGGCCTTAAAGAATTGAGCTCTGTAATTTCAAAGCCATTGTTTTTAATTTTTAGGGACTCTTTAATGACTGTGGTGCCAATATTTAAAAAGGGGTCAAAATCTTTACCAAGTAATTATAGACCTGTTAGTTTAACTTCTATAGTTGGGAAGATATTGGAGAGTTTAAGAAAAGACCACATAGATGAGTTCTTGCTGGAAAAAAATATTTTAAGCAACAGACAGCATGGATTCATGAAAGACAGAAGTTGTCAAACAAATCTAATTTCTTTTTATGAGGGGTTGAGCAGAACCTTGGACAGAGGGGTGGTGATGGACATGGTATACTTGGACAGAGGGATGGTGGTAGACATGGTATACTTGGACAGAGGGGTGGTCGTGGATATGGTATACTTGGACAGAGGGGTGACTGTGGACGTGGTATACTTGGACAGAGGGGTGGCGGTGGACATGGTATACTTGGACAGAGGGGTGGCGGTGGACATGGTATACTTGGACAGAGGGGTGATGGTGGACGTGGTATACTTGGACAGAGGGGTGGTGGTGGACATGGTATACTTGGACAGAGGGGTGGCGGTGGACATGGTATACTTGGACAGAGGGGTGATGGTGGACGTGGTATACTTGGAATTTGCAAAAGCATTTGACACAGTTCCCCACACATGGCTAATGTGTAAGGTAGTCTACAGGTTTGGAAAAATCTGTATGTAAATGGATAGAAAACTGGCTAAAAAATGGTATTCAGAGAGTAGTGGTTAATGATTTATACTCTGAATGGTCTAGGGTTGTCAGTGGTGTACCCCAAGGTTCAGTGTTGGGATCTTTACTTTTTAATATATTTATAAACAATATAGGGTCTGGGACTAGAAATCCCATTTCAGTCTTTGCAGATGACACCAAGCTGTGCAGTGGAATAACGTCCTTACAGGATGTCTCCAACTTACAAGATGACCTCAGTGCTCTGTGTAATTGGGGGACTATGTGGCAAATGAGGTTTCGTGTTGATAAATGTAAGGTGTAATATGCATGCATCATACATACTAGGGGGGTACAACTGGGGGAATCAATGGTGGAGAAGGATCTACGGGGGTCAATGGTGGTGAAGGATCTGGGAGTTCTGCTAGATCACAAGCATAATAATGGCAGCAATGCCAAGCTGCGGGTTCTAAAGCGAGCAAAATCCTCTCTTGTATTAAAAGAGGTATAAACTCCAGAGAGAGAGATATCATTTCCCCCGGTACAAATCATTAGTAATACCTCATCTGGAATATATTTGGGCACCAATTCACAAAAAGAACATTGGGGAACTGGAGAAAGTACAGAGAAGGGCAACCAAACTGATAAGAGGCATGGAGGAGCTCAGCTATGAGGAAAGATTAGAGAAACTGAATGTATTCTCTCTTGAGAAGAGGAGATTAAGGGGGGATATGATCTCCATGTATAATAAATAAGGGGGATATGATCTCCATGTGTAAATACATAAGGGAGGATATGATCACCATGTCTAATACATAAGGGGGGATATGATCTCCATGTATAATACATAAGGGGGGATATGATCTCCATGTGTAAATACATAAGAGGGATATGATCTCCATGTATAATACATAAGGGGGATATGGTCTCCATGTATAATACATAAGGGGGGATATGATCTCCATGTATAATACATAAGGGGGATATGATCTCCATGTATAATACATAAGGGGGGATATGATCTCCATGTATAATACATAAGGGGGATATGATCTACATGTATAATACATAGGGGGGGATATGATCTCCATGTCTAATACATAAGGGGGGATATGATCTCCATGTATAATACATAAGGGGGGATATGATCTCCATGTATAATAAATAAGGGGGATATGATCTCCATGTATAATACATAAGGGGGGATATGATCTCCATGTATAATACATAAGGGGGATATGATCACCATGTATAATACATAAGGGGGGATATGATCTCCATGTATAATACATAAGGGGGGATATGATCTCCATGTATAATACATAAGGGGAGATATGATCTCCATGTATAATACATAAGGGGGGGATATGATCTCCATGTATAAATACAGCAGTAGTTCATATAGTGAACTCGGTGTAGAGTTATTCCCCCCTGAGGTCATCACAGAGGACAAGGGGGCGCTCTTTATGTCTGGAGGAAAAGAAATGTAATCTCCAAACATGGAAAGGTTTCTTCACAATGAGAGCTGTGAAAATGTGGAATAGACTCCCTCAAGAGTTGGTTCTGGCCAGTTCAGTGGATTGCTTCAAAAAAGTCCTGGAGCATTTCTTAGATACACAGAATATAACTGGATATAACATTTATAGGTAAAGTTGATCCAGGGAATATCCGATTGCCTCTTGGAGGATCAGGAAGGAACTTTTTTCCCTCCAGGAGCAAATTGGATCATGCTTTGCTGTTTTTGTTTTGCCTTCCTCTGGATCAACTGTGGGTATAGGATTATAACTTTTTTTCTATGGTTGAACTGGATGGACTTTTTTCTTTTTTCAGCCACACTAACTATGTAAAGTTGCCTTCTGTGCACTACAATTCCCCCCCATCACCATGTAATGGACATGAAGAGTGAGGAACATTTTTAGTAGTCCTAATTAGGAGAAAATGTTATTGGCATGATTACCAGGGGAAAATAAAAGTAGAAAAGCCCTCAAAAATAGAAAACTAATACTAACACCACATCTAAGGACTCTAAAGTTGCAATATATTACTGTTTTGTTCATGGATTTGGATATGAACCAATTTCTCCCTTTATACACTGCTTTTTCTGTTTTCTAAGGCTAAGGATAAACACGAGTGGTTTTAAGATGAACCTGTACTTAGCTTCCTTACCCATACTGCTCCACTGCCCCAAGGACATCCTAGAACCCCATGAATTATATCTTTGTACAGGTACATATGTGACTTTCTCTGATTTCTCACTATGTAGTACTGCACCTTGGGAATGTCCCCAAATCTGTATACGTTCTTACCCATGCCAACCAAATCTTACAATGGCTTTTTTCTCAGCGCTCCACCATTCAAATATTTTCTTGGGGCTCCAGCAAGTGAATGAACAAGAAGGCCTACTAAATTTCTCTGAATGGGCAAGGTAAGATAGAAACATAATAAGGTGCTCACAGGAAAAAAAAACAAGTGGTCTATCTGTCTGCTTTTACTATCTCATCATTTCCAAAGCCTAATACAATAAATCCATGGTCTACCTGTCACTAAAAAGAGATAACAATTTAAAACCAATATTATACAAGATTATTACATTTTGTATCTGTG